TGTATACGTGTATCGGATCTCTGCTTGGACTGTAGTAGAGTAGAACTTGTTTGTGGGCCTGACCCACCATTATTTTTCAGGTGTTCGTCAAAAGTAGAGGTTATTCGTGCTGAGCGAGGATCAGTCTACTTCATTCTTTCGATGCTACATAGGAGTTCCTTTATGATTCAGTTTCCTAATTTAGACAGTTATTGCTGTCATTTGTTTAGTTTGGATTTTCTAGGGGTCCACACAGTATGGATTCCCGAGTTGTATTTTGGAGGATCAATTGTATCAGAAGAGTTTATTAACTAATGGAAATATATTCTGAGGTTTATTATTTGATTATCATTTTAGTTTCTTGTCAGCATTTTATTTATTTTTCTTTATTCTTTTGTACTCTGTGTTCGTTTATTATCAATTTGTTTTGATATCATCGGGTATTCGGGCGTGGGCCTGGCCAACCCGCATTCGGAAATCCGGGGATATCACAATGTTCCAATTTGGTTATATATATATTCACATGTGGTGATTTTGGTATTGGATATTCCAATTTTGTTAGGTATACTTTCATCTTTTTGGTTTCGACATTGGATGTTCCAATTTGGTTAAATGCATTTATATTGTGGATTTCGGTTTATAATGCTTCAATGTTAGTTCTAGGATGTTTCCTTAGCTTCACCTTGAAACTAGACGCTAGGAGGCCTGTTCCACATGTTGTGATCTATGTTAGGCTTGCAAAGCCATTGAAACCTTAGGTTATCCGCATGATGCATTTTCCTACGAAGTAATTTAACTTACTCACACCTGTTGATTATACATTTTTTAGGTGTTGATGCTTCCTTATGGATGGATTCTTACTTTTGCTTATTATGGATGTGGTGTCATGGACACTCGTTTTGTTCGCATGCAAAGTGGTTAGCATGTCTTTTGGCTTAGTTTTGTGATAATGTATGTATGGAGTATATTTTGGATCAATATATGTAATTGAGGCCAACGAGCCGTTTTTAATGTCGAATGTATGTTTCACAAGTCGTTTGGTTTAATATGCATGTTATGAGTATTTATCCGTGCATTTCAGTACTGCCATGCCATTTTCCATTTTGCATAACACTTAGGAATTTAGAGGTCATTTGCATTTTCTGGGTTGCAGCAGAGTTTGCTGCAACTTTTCGAGCCATTTCAGTCGACCGGACTCCATTTCGGTCGACCGGTTTCTTTTGGATTCAATTAAATAGTGTTTCCAGTAGCCAACCCACTTTTTGGACCACAATCGGTAGACCGGTTTTGCATTTCGGACGACAGAATTTTTGGCTTCATTTCGGATGACCGGAATGGCATTTTGGACGACCTAAATGCCTTCTTGTTGTCAACTTTGTTTTGGTCAGTTGTCATTGCATCTTTGGATCCTTGTATGTTTCCATTTTTCACTTTTGACCTTGTATGAGCCATCTTATGGCGATCATGATCTAGTTTGACCTAGTTCATGTTTCTTGGGGTGTCATTGGTGCTGTAAAGTACTATTTGACCTTTTTGACCTAAGCTTCCGTATTTGTTTCATATTGAGTGTTGTTTCCCCGTTAGAGGATCTTCCTTCGCCCTAGAGGTGGCGTTCGCCTCTAGTGACCTTCTCTGTTGTTTCACTTCCGCCTTTGCTTTTGAGATGAGTCTTGTGCTCTTATAAGGTTCCTTTGTTGTCCTAGAGGTGTTGTTTCTCTCTAGGGACTCTTCTCTTTTCTTGCTTCCGCATTTCGGACTCGATAGCGGGTCAGGTTCTGGGTTTCTCGTTGACGCATCGGGTTCTTGGAATTCGGGCCGTTACATCTTCTATGCGCATCAGCCAAGCGATGAAAGAATTTTATTATTCCGATCACCCTCTTTCAACCAAATCGCTCTGGATTTTCGCCTCCACGAAATTTCCTCCATAATAGCAATCTCTCCAAACTTAGCTTTACATTCCCCCCTCATGTTCACCTCTGCATCACTAAGGCCTCCTTTTCCCTCCTTGTCCAATTCTAAAATTTCAAGAAGAATTTTGTTTCTGCGCCACTCCATATTACCAAACACTTCGTTGTTCCAAGTTTTAATGTCTTTTTTCAACAACCTAAGTTTCGACATTAGTATGAAGCTCGGGCTACCCCTAACCTTGTACTGGCAATCCTGGATTTGAAGTCCTCCACTTGAAGCCACATGTTCTCAAACCGAAACGGGTTCTCCCTCTCCTCACCCCTCCGCAATCAAGAAGAATAGGAATATGATCCGATATAGCTCTAGCCATCACCACTTGCTCCCTTTCAATAGGCCCTACTTAGCAAGTTGTTGTCGAGATTTAGATGTGAGCATCATAGATTGTGGAGGGGGGGTTATTGCTTGCCGCTTTGGGGAGGAGAGAGGTGGGTGGTGCTCTCGTGTGTCTAGATTTGACAGAGGTGTTGGTGTTTGGAAATTCATTCGGAAGGACTGGATGAGTTTTCAAAACACATCAGATTTATAGTTAGGATGGTAGGGGCATTCAATTTTGGGAGGACTTGTGGTGTGGTAATCGTTCTCTGGCCTCTCTCTTTCCTAAGCTCTTGAGGATTGACGTTGATAGATGTTGAAAGATATAAAAATTGAAGTGAGAAAGTAAACATGAAGAACAAAAGGAAAGACACAAAAAGCCCAAATGGCTACATCACCCTTATTATATTATCTCTTAAGATTGTTTATAATGAGCATGTCTATTTATAGGTGAAAGAACAAAGCGATACATATGGAAAATACATTAATGGAGGATTCATAAAATCAATCCCATAAATCACTCCAATCATAGTTTATCATAGACTAAAATCACTCCCACAATATTCTCAGAGTAATATTCTGTGGAGTAATTTAATGTTCCTATAATAACATTCTCCAACAATAGACATGTCTTGGTTATTGGCTTGATAGCGGTAGGTTTTCTTGGGTTGTGCGCTTTCGTTGACATTTTCAAGATTGGGAATTAGACGATGTTTCTAGGTTACTGGATCTCTTATATAGACAAAAGGTGGATGGTGGTGGTTTTGATACCCTCTTCTGGGTGCCCTCTCCTTAGGGTAGATTCGATGTTCGTTCTTTATTCTACTGCATATCCGGATACTCAAGGATTGATTTCCCTTAGAAGGCGGTATGGTGCTCGAAGGCTCTTCTCAAAGTGTCCTTTTTTGTTTGGACTGCAGGTTGGGGCAAGATTTTGATGCTTGATAACCTGCGAATGAGAAGTCAGGTTACTGTAAATTGGTGTTGTACGTGTAAAAAGGATTGAGAGTCGGTGAATCACCTCCTTTTACGTTTCCCCATGGCTTACGATTGTTGGAGTCTTATTTTTGGCTTATTTGGCGTTTAGTGGCCTATGTCACGTTCTTCGAGAGGATTAATTGATGCTTGGGGAGGATGTTCAGTGGGATCCCATGCTCATGATGGTTGGAGGGTGGCTCCCTTTTGTATTTGATGGTGCATTTGGAAAGAGCGGTATAGAAGATCCTTTGATGGGAAGGAATCTCCCATTGGGGTTTTGAAATTTAACGTTATTAGTTTTCTTTATTGTTGTGTGATGGGGACTTATTGTAATTCGATAAAGGAGATAGTTGACATTTTAGGTTCCTTGGGTCCACAGGACCTTTTCTTTTGGGCTCCGGCCTTTTTGTGTCTGCGGGATGGATTTCTCTTGGCATTTCAAAATGAGTAAAGATGTTGGACTTTATAAAAGCAACTACCATGGAGTGGTCATTCGTTTTGGTAGCACAAGCCTCCACCCATTTGGACACGAAGAGTGTTTTAATGAGTAAAGATTGAATCTTTGAATGAAAATACCTCAATCAAGGTATCTATTAAGTCGCCCTTTTCTTTGTGTGTATATATATTGAAGGTGAATAAAATGGCTGCGAATTCTAAATTCTGAGCTCCTCCTTTGTTGTTAAGTCAGAATTTTAAGTTGCAGGATTTGTTCTATTTAGTCGTAATTCATCCCAGACGGGCCAGATGAATTTATATTTACTTTTTTTTTTTTTCCCTAAATTAATTCATATTTACTTTTTTTTATTATTTACTTATAATAATAATAAAAAAAATACACTCAGAAATGACAGCAAAATATATAGAGAACCACCTCTCTAACACACAAACAACTAAAACCAGAGAGATTATCCTCTTTTGAGATGCATAAAAAAAGACTGCATAGTTACCACATAAACCCTAAAAAGCAACAAAGTAGACCATACCAGAATCGTGAATCGAAGAAGAAAATCCGCAGTTGCAGAACCAAGTGAACATGAAAATAAAAACCCGTTCAAGATTGCAATTGATAAAAAACAGGTAAAAAAATTTGTATCTGCGGTACGTGTGGATGTGATTGACACTACTTCCTTGCAAACAAATCCCATCTTGGAATCTCTTCAAAACCCTTCACACCCACTAGGGTTTACACGAACTTGCCCTAGGGTTTCAACTACACACCCTAGAGCATTACAAACCATGCTCGGATACCATGTTGACTTTAAGAGATCATCAAAATAATAGTAAAGTTAAAGAAGGTGAAGAAGAAGAAGAAGAAGAGAAAAAAAGAGAGAGATGGGATCCTTCCACCACATTGTATTTATATTAACAAGTTTCAGAAATTTACACATAAGCAACCAACATCATATAAGTAATAACAAATAAACTCTTGACAACAGTTTGGTGGTCATTCATACCACAATTTGTACAAAATAAAAACTTATCTGCTTATGATTTATGTGACCTGCAATGTTTCTTTCACCCCTTACCTAACTTCCTTCTCCATTCTCTAGTTTTCATCGTGTCCCTATTATATTTATTGGATAATGGTTATTCATTGGAAATCAACATGTTTGTTTGTTAGAAGTCTTTGCATGACTATCAAAATGCCCAGTCTAACAACTGAGAAGAAAAGAATCAATCTCCCTAGAATTTTGCAGTTAATGAATGAACATCAATCCATATTATCTATTTATGTGTCTTTTGTTTTGATTGACTAATCGTAGGTCAGCTGCCCCTGGATTCTTCCTCTGTGGATATTGTCGTATCTATCTGTAGATCGTCTGAATTTCCCAGTGTTCAGTTGCTAGAGGAAATCTCAAGAGTGTTGAAACCTGGGGGAACAATCCTACTTCAGCTGATTTCTCAAGCTACAGATCAGTTGGCTACAGGGAAAACGGTAATTCAACGGTTACGCAAAATGCAACAGTTGCACAAATTTTAATTTGGTGAAATATCAACTTGTGGTATCATATTTGGGTCTCTTTGCAGGCAACCTCTTCTCTTCAGCGAAGGTTACAGGTGGCTGGGTTCTTAGATGTTGAGGATGTTCAAATGAAACCAGTTGTACCATCTGAAGTTCAGTCTTTTGGGGTGAGTGGTTGTTTCTTTTTATTACCAACACAATTTATCCCCATTCCTTTTCTTTGTGGAATAGATAATGAGTAGCAGGGACATAGGGTTGAGTGGGGCTGTTCGCCCCAACTGATTTTATTTATTTATATTAAATGCTTAGATTTTGCTAAAATTTTAGTAATGCCCCCACCAAATTTTTGGTAAAGCTCCCCTATATTATATATACTTGCCCCCCACAGGGGTTGTCCCTCTCAGTCAGAGGGATGGAGAGCAATAAGTTGCCCCTGCTCAATTTTTTATTTATTTATATTTTATTTTACTTGATTAAAAAGTTTCTAAAAAAGCTATTAAGTTAACCTTGAAAATTTATAAAATCTCTTCGTCTTCGGAGATTATTTTTATTTTTTTTAGAAGTAAGATTGTATTGAAAAGCGATCAGAAGGGGACCGCATCCCAAAAGAAATACACAAGGCCAAATAGGGCATCTAAACACTCAAAGAGCCCAAAAAATCAGCTATCTCCTCTTAAGATCTGTAATATCTCCCAGTTTTTGGAGATATTACAATTTAGTGACTTGGAACTGATATTTGCAATGCACTGTTGTACTCTTTATTGTACTTTTTTTTTAAATAGAAAAATACATAATTATCTTTCAAAAGCACACTTAACATTTTTTTCTTCCAAAAAATACACCCTATGGGCTAATCATGACATTTCTTTTCAAGTTGATTACAAAAGTATAGAGTTGGCAATATTAAAATTTTCTTAGTGATCAAATTTAAAAATAATTTATTTGTTACTTATTTACATTAATAATGACCATCATAATTTTTCTTTAATCGTTAGTGTAGAAATGGAGATTTGTATATAATGAGAATAGAGATACAGAGAGAGAGAGAGAGAGACGGTGAGAGAGCCAGCATTTGCTCAACCCATTTTTCTCATATATCTTTAACCCTAAAACATAAAGGGAGTTATATACAATACAAGAAAGGCCTAATTACATAATGGCCACAAATCCTATATCTAATTACAATAAGACCCCAGCATAAATACATATATACATATAAGTGTTTCAACACTCCCCCTCAAGCTGGAGAATATATATCATATAATCCCAGCTTGGAACAAATCGTTTTTAACCGATTATGACCAAGAGCCTTAGTACACATATCAGTTAATTGATCTTCAGATTTCACGAATGGAGTAGAAATATTTCCACTCAATATTTTCTCTCGAGTGAAGTGACTGGGCTTGCTTATCACAGAACAGTGGAATAGGAGTCTTGACTATTAACCAAGTTCTTCAAGAAAATGTTGTATCCACGTTAACTTACTAGAGGTATGGGCCATCGCCCTGTACTCTGCTTCAACGCTAGACCGTGCTACAACTGTTTGCTTCTTACTTTTTCATGTAACAAGATTTCCACTAACAAATGTACAATAGCCTGTAGTAGATTTCCTATCTGAGGGAGAGTCAGCATTTGTGAAACCTGTCACATTAAGATGACCATTAGGTTTATATAGTAATCCAAAACCTGGAGCTTGTTTGAGATATCGAATAATTCGAAGAACAACATTCCAATGTGGTACTCTAGGAACACTCATGAACTGACTTACAACACTAACTGCATATGAAATGTCAGGTCGGGTGATAGTGAGATAAATTAATTTCCCAACTAGACGTCGATATCTGCCATGATCATCAAATAAATCACCCTCATCAGGTAATAATTTTATATTTGGGTCCATAGGAGCATCAGCAGGGCGAGTACCTAACATACCTGTTTCTTTTAACAAGTCCAACACATATTTTCTTTGAGATAGACTTATACCTTCCTTGGATCTAGCAACCTCAATACCTAAGAAATATTTGAGTTTGCCTAGATCCTTTGTGTGAAACCTATTCTGTAAGAACAATTTTAACTTTGCAATGCTGTCAAAATTATCACCTGTTATAACAATGTCATCTACATATACCACAAGAAATATAAAGCCAATTTTAGTATGTTGGTGAAATACCGAATGATCTGTCTCGCATCTATTAAGGCTAAAGGAAAGTACCGCCTCGGAGAATTTTCCAAACCAAGCCCTTGGAGATTGTTTCAATCCATACAGGGCCTTTTTAAGATGACATGCTGCATAACGAGACTCCCCCTGAGCAACAAATCCAGTTGGTTGCTCCATGTAAACCTCTTCATGTAAGTCACCATGTAAGAAAGCATTTTTCACATCTAATTGACACAATGGCCAATCACGATTGGCGGCAATAGAAATAAGGATTCGGATAGAAGAAATCTTCGCAACAGGAGAAAAGGTCTCATCATAATCAATACCATAGGTTTGTGTGTATCCCTTTGCAACAAGACGAGCCTTCAATCGCTCAACAGATCCATCATGGAGATATTTGACAGTGTAGACCCACTTACAACCAACCGTTTTGGAACCGGGAGGTAAGGAAACAAGATCCCATGTCCTATTATGATGAAGAGCATCCATTTCATCTATTATGGCTTTGCGCTAAGCTGTATCAGATAGAGCCTCCTGCACAGTTTTTGGAACAGCAGTAGCTGATAACGTGGATAAAAAACAAGAAAATGAGGGCGATACCTTTTTATAGGAAACAAAGTTAGATATGAGGCGTGCAGTGACACACGAGTGAACACCCTTAGGTAATGCAATAGGAAGATCATCAGTAGCAAGAGGAGCCTCAATGGAAGTAGACAATTTTAGGGGGGGGGGGGGGGGGGCAGGCTACTCGTGATCGACGGCTATACACTTGAAGTGGCAGTGGCACATGAGGTGATTGTGGTGGGTCATAGGGTAATGAATGTGACACAACAGGCAACGGAAGTAGTAGCTCGGTATCTAAAGACGAACTATGTGAAGAAAGATAAGGAGTATCCTCAAAAAAAGGTAACGTCCATGCACACAAAAGCCTTACGAGTGCTAGGATCCCAACATTTATAACCTTTTTGAGTCCGAGAGTATCCAATAAAGACACACTTAATGGCGCGAGGAGACAATTTATCAGCTCCAGGACGTAATATGTGAGCAAAGCGCACACACCAAAACACAGAGGCGGCAATGCAAATAATGGTCGAGTAGGAAAAACAAAGGAATAAGGACATTTCCAATTAAGAACGGAAGATGGCATACGATTAATTAAATAACAAGCAGTTAAAACAGCATCGCCCCCAAAATGCTTTTGGAAGATGCATATGTATCATCAATGTCCGAGATATTTCAATTAAATGCCTATTTTTCCGTTTAGCTATGCCATTTTGTTGTGGAGTATAAGAACAAGAAGTTTGGTGCAAAATACCACGAGAGTCGCAAAAACTAGAAATAGCACCTTTGACATATTCCATAGCATTATCAGATTGTAAAGTGCGTATTACACCCAAATTGGACCTCAATTTCTTTTAAAAATATTTGAAATATGGAAAACAATTCAGAACGGTCTTTCATTAAAAACAACCAAGTTATCCTTGAATAATCATCAACAAAGGTAATAAAATAAGAAAAACCTGAGTGACTAGTGTGATGAGCGGGACCCCAAATGTTCGTATGCACTAATTCAAATAAAGAAGACTGACGATTAACAATACGAGGAGGGAAAGGCACTCTATGGTGCTTACCCAACTGACAAGATTCACAATTTAAAATAGACTCCGACTCAAGGAAAGGCAAAGCAGACTTCAAATACCGCAACGAGGGATGACCTAATCGATAATGCCACTGGTACATAGGCATCTGGGAATGTAAAGCAACAGTGGAAGGTTTGCAATCCAAATAGTATAGGCCATTTCTGTTACTGCCCCCACCAATTGTCTGTTTCGTGTTGAGGTCCTGAAAGACACAAGACGAAGGATAAAATGTGACAAAACAGTTCAGTGCTTGAGTCAATTTACTTATAGATAATAAATTAAAGGGAAAATTTGGAACTAATTGCACAGAGGATAAAGAAATGGATGGGGTTAATTTAATTGTTCCCTGGCCAATAATGGAACATGTTCTACCATCAGCCAGAGTAACAAAAGATGAGGAACTAGACTTCTGAAAATTAGAAAATAGAGAGGCATCACCCGTGAGATGGGTAGAAGCCCCAGAGTCAATAACCCAAGGGGATGCTGAAGTCTGTAAATCGGACAAGCATGCAATATTACCTGATTGCGCAAAATTAACTACATCAGTAGAGTTGGGATGCGTCCGGTTGACCAATGCACTGAACTTAGCTCGTGATAGTGATAGTGTCACAGTGACACTAGTAGATGCAGGTGATAGTAATACAGAAGTCTGACCAAGAGAGGGATGAGACCCTACAAGGTCAGAGGAAGACACTGCTTGATTTGCCCATACTGGTTTCCATGAAGAGTCCAACGGTTCTCAACAGAATGGTTAGTACCCTTACTGTGGCTGCACATACGAGTGTCACTACGTCCACGACCACGACCACGACCACGGCGACTGCGACCTCTATCACGGCCACTACCGCCACGAGAACTACCTGAATTTCCACCATACCCTCTGTTGCCACTAGGAGTATCACCTGAATTTCCACCATACCCTCTATTGCCACTAGGAGTATCACAACCTCTAGAGGACTGTGGAAAAATAGAAGGAATCATCATAGCTGAATTTTCTTTCACTCCAGTGGGCGTCACATGTGATTGTTCTGAAACCCGAAGTAAACAGGAATGAATGTTACCCAAAGACGGGAGTCCTCCATCACCAGCAAGGATCTGGTCCCGAATATTATGAAGGTTCGGGTGCAAACCAGCAAGAAAAATAGAAACAGAAAATTCCTCATGTTGTCGCTTGAGAACATCAGGATCAGTAGTCAAGGGGTGGTTCTGATTTAACTCATCTAACAGGCTTTTGAAATTACTGTAATACTCACCAAGGCCTTGACCAGAGAAGTCAGATTGACGAGAATGAAATATCTTTTCATACAATGAATATATGCGAGAAACATTTGTGTCCATAGAGTAAGTTTCTTTAACTGCATCCCAGATTGCCTTGGCAGTGTTGACAAACATAAAAGTGGATGCAATGGAAGGTTCCATATTGAACAACCCGGACATAACCATATAGTTATCAGTTTCCCACTCCTCATATGTTGCTGATGTTTTGATGGAGGATATGTTGTAATAAACTTCAGCTTTCGTCGGTCACCTAAAGAAATCTTTACTACTTGAGCCCATAGTAAGTAATTGGAATTACTTAATTTCATAGATGTAATTTGCAACCCGACAGGATCAACATATGTTGCAGAAGATTTAACTCCAGTAGACCTAGAAGCAACATTTGAATCGTCCGGCATGGAGATATGAACATGAAAAGAAAAAGAAAACTTATCTGCGCCAAGTTAAGATGCCAAATCTGTACCGACGAACCAAAGAAGCTATTGCACCTGAGAAGGCCCGACCAGAGTTGAACCGGGAACAAAAGAAGACTCGGAGCAGAACAGACCCGGTAAGTAAATCGGGTCGGACCTTGAATCAGGTCGAACGGGCCGAACCTTGAATTGGGTCGAATGGGCCGAACCTTGAATCGGGTTGAACGGGCCGGATTTTGAATCGGGTCAAACCGACCGGACCTTGAATCGGGTCAAACGGGCCGGACCTTAAATCGGGTCGGAACAAATCCGGTTTATATTAACCTGGATTAGGATAGCGAGAACCCTGTAGCCAAACACCGTTCTTCTTTGCAAAGTCGCTCTCCGGCAAGCACGCAGCGGCAGCGACAGTGGCGGCGGCGATGGAATCAACAAGCAGAGATGCACCTCGCGACACCCGTCGGTGACCAAGCAACGAGCAGCAACGACGACGACAGTCGCTGGTGACCAAGCAGCAAACAACGATGACAAGAGAAGGCGGTGAATTCGTTGACAACCGAAAAGACAACAACGCGAGTAACCAAATTGGGTTTCAGATCTGAGACCAAGCAACGAGCAGCGACGACAAGAGAAGGCGGCGAGCTCGTCGACAACCAAAACGGCAACAACTTCACCACTGCCACGAGCTTTGAACAGATCTACAAATCTATACAAGAACAATACAATTGCAATTTCCCACACTCACAATTTCGATCCGCTTTGATACCATGTAGAAATGGAGATTTGTATATAATGAGAATAGAGATACAGAGAGAGAGACAGCGAGAGAGCCAGCATTTGTTCAGCCCATATTTCTCATATATCTTTAACCCTAAAACATAAAGGGAGTTATATACAATACAAGAAAGGCCTAATTACATAATGGCCACAAATCCTATATCTAATTACAATAAGACCCCAGCATAAATACATATATGCATATAAGTGTTTCAACAGTTAGCATGATTATTGTCTTTGGACTTCCAATATATTAAAAGTATAGTTCCATTTTAGTTTTAAATTATTTAAAATGTTGCTCATGACCCAAATTAACTATTGATCTCAAAAATAGCAAAATTTAATGTTTTCTTACATAAGCTAGTGAGATAGTACGCCTATGACAGAACAATCATATGTCCCCACCTCAAAGTAAATTTCTAGGTCCGCCACAGATTGCTTGTCTGGTGAGAGTTAAAAAAGCAAGAACCAGAATTATGGATAAATTTATTCTTCACGTTATACATGGTTTGGAACACATGTCCATATTGTTTTTTCTATTGTGAAGTGGTTTTACCAATGAGAATGTATGTCTGATTTTAACTTTGTTCTCTTTGCAAATGGAATTTATAGTCTGTGACTACTGGTAAAACCCATCATATAATGTTTGTTCCTCTCTGCTATCTTTTGGAATAATGATGATGTTTCATTTCTTCAGAGAAAATGATATCACAAACTTGAATTTGTTTCCCTTTTTCTCTACAGATGAAAGCCAATAAGGCTTCTTGGAAGATTGGTTCATCCTTCTCTATCAAAAAGGCCACAAAAATTTTACCCAAATTAGTCATTGACAATGAAATGGATCTGATTGACGAGGATAGCCTGTTGACCGAGGAGGATCTGAAGAAACCACAAATGCCACTGGGTATGTCAGGTTTTGGTTTTACTACTATTTGTGAATCTCTCACTTTTTGGACATATATGTGAAACTTATTCTGCATGATTTTTTTGACTGTTTCCTTCACAGTTGGTGATTGTGAAGTTGGAAGCACAAGGAAAGCTTGCAAAAATTGCACTTGTGGAAGGGCCGAGGCAGAGGAGAAAGTGCAGAAGCTGGAACTGACTATGGACCAGCTGGACAATCCTCAATCAGCATGCGGCAGTGTATGTTCTACTATATGCATATTGATTGATTATTTATTTATTTATTGGTAGCATCTCTGGAGTCGAATTAGGATTAGTGTGTTATATATTTTTTTGTTATATGAGGTTGCATTGCCCGAGATTTAAGTACCACAATGGAGCGATGACAATGGAAGAACAGTAGTCTTCCCTGGTAAAGCAACATGCATAGTCTCACTTAGGTGATGCCTGCGCAAAGGAGCAACACAATTCTTTTATAAAGGTCTTCTGAATTATGATTTTCATATTGTGTACAATCAAGACTCGCTAAAAATGTCAAAATTATCATGCAAATCTGGCTCCTGCAGTTCTTTTGTGTGGACTCTCTCTCCAGTTTTTTTTTTGGTAGCCTTCCCTTTTCTCTGAAAGTTCAATTGTACACACAGTGTGGACTTGGCGATGCGTTTCGATGCAGTACATGCCCTTACAAGGGTCTGCCACCATTCAAACTGGGAGAGAAGGTGCGTTATATGATTGTTCCTTTTCTTTTCTGTCAGTGATTTTGAAGAATGTATGAGACAAGAAATGAATTTTGAACGAATGACATCAGAGTTTTTCGTTTCTTCACAGGTTACTCTATATGGGAATTTTCTCACAGCTGACATTTAAGATGGCAAAAAAGTGAAACTGATATATCATTGTGGCGTCTATGTTTTTTGGGTCAGGAGGTGGTTGTCTTTGTTTTAATGATGCCTGTAGTTTAGGTTGTATGAGAGGTGCTTCTTGCTCAAGTTCTGAAACGATGACAAATTCAAATGGGCTGGTGCGTATTGACATATTGATGTTGATGTTGATGTTGATGTCGATGACCGTGGGTCTAGACTAACAAATTTTGTTGAGAATATTTGTTTCAAACTTTTGACTATATTTTGTATAATTGATGACCATAAGCAAAATCTACTCTAAAGTAGCACTAGATGTGATATCAAAAGCGATTTTAAAATTACCATTAAAAATTGAAAAGGAAATTACCAATTGTATATTTGGTTTGTTTGTCCGTCTTGTTTTCAAGAAATTGATCGTAAACTCTGTTTTGGTCTCTTCGTTATTGTTCATTTTCTAATCAGGAGTGGCAGTCTCTTAGGGAGGGATTGTGTTCAAAAAGTTTTCATTGTTGTCATGATAGACACTCTAGAAAGAACAATCAAAACTATGAAAGACATGATTTTAAGACGAATGTCATTGAGAATGGGAAAATTTTGATAATTGGAGTTGGTGATTTAGATTATAGTGTGTTTTTGGAATGCTAAATAAATTGATTGTTTGTTTCGTTAGATAGAATTAACCAGAAAAAAAAAGGAAATAGAAAATTTTAAAATTTTTGTGGTAGTTTGGTTAGATAGAAAAAGAAAAGTTCTAGAAAATTATGATTCTTGTAACTTTCTATTTTTTTTCAGAATGTTTCGTTGGGGAAATTTTATTTTTCCGTAAAAGCATTGTTTTTTTATTTAGTGTTCTTATTTTACCCAACAACTTCATTGATATTCGGAGACGACAATAATTTTTTTTTACTTTGTTTCAAAGAATTGGAATTCACTAACAATATTATCATTGATAAATTTTAATGAACTATCAACAGGCCAGTGGCTTAGCAGTATCACACTCTTATTCAAAGGAAGGTCAGGGGTTCAAACCTTGATGAAAGCATGTGTTTAAGAAAAAAAATAAAAAATAAAAAATTTAATGAACTTGACTTCCATTCATTATATATGAATAATAGTAATTCAGAAGACATTATCATTTTTTTAATATATTTTATTACTAATTCTTTATTATTTTATTATTTTTATAAAATAAAATTAATTTAGGTATCCAAACTATAATATGATATTTTCCTACAATTTTTTTTGAATAAATTTTCATCCTAATCAAATACATACTAGAAAATCAATTTTCTTTTCATTCACTTTACTTTTCTTTTCATTTACCATTTCTTTTCCTTTCTTACTATTTTCATTTAACCAAATAGAGCCTAAGGGTTATGTAAAGACCGAATTGAATCGGGAAACTAATAAAATTGAACCGAACAACCTAAAAAACTAAACCTAATCAAAGCGTGAGAAACCAATTTGGTTTGATTTAGTTCTGCAGTTCTAGGCTTTTTTATAATTGATGCATAAATTAACTAGTTTCATATATAATAAACAATGGGTAAAGTGTGTATAATCCCTTAAACTTTCAGCCAAAAACACAAAATCCCCTAAACTAAGAAATGCCCCCTCAACTATTTAAAACATACAATGTAAGGACAAAATTAATAGTCTTCGGCATCAGAGGTCACTGGAGATGTTTGATTACAAAATTAGCCTTTTGTAAAACGACGTCGTTTTAGTGTTTTATTGGCTTTTAGAGCTAATGTGTGAAACAAAATTTGAACAGCCAATAATATTAGGACAACACGTTATCACTTTACCAAACACCACTTTATTGTCCACACATTTCAACACCAACAGAGTCCGTGCCAAAGCCAAAAACCAACCAGTCCATTGCAACTGAATCACTTTGAAATTGAAACTTTGAAACCCTAACTCATCCATTGCAATATAGCTACTGTAAGGACTCCCCTCTCCCTCCCTCTCTATCTCTTTCTTCTCTCTAACCTTCTCTTCCCCTCTCTTTCCTTTCATGGCCGATGATGGAGGCACTGCTCCGGCAGTCATCAACGTTGCCATTGAAAAAGCGACTGCAAGGTCATCGCTACGTAGGTGCTTCACAGCTTGGAAAGGTTGCCTTCATGGTGACCCATGTCCAAAACTATTGCTCGGCGACCTTGTGTCGCCATAGTACAGGTCTCCAAGTCATCGGAAATTGACCTAGTAAGCCGTCGTGAAGAGCAGCGACCTTGGGTCGCGATTTGAAGAAGGTTGCGTCATTAGTAAATGATGTTGAGATTTTATCTCTTATAGTACAGCTGTAGGGTTGAATTATTTACTCATTGATTTAAGGCTAATTGGTAAGTAATTAGTTACCTATTTTAGCTAATCTTATTCTATAAATTGGATGTAATACTCATAAATGAATAATCGAATATAATTTTAATTCTCGTATTTGTTCTCTGAATTGCAAGATGGTATCAGAGCCATCCTTGAACCGTATTGTTTGAATCTCTTTGAATCTATCTTTGAAATTCATTGAACCATAAACAGACCCATACAACATAACCATACACATACACATACAGTCACCATCATCCAATTTTTCCTGCTACCACCATTGATTCACCAATCATGCCCGTTACCCATCACAAGCTGCTGCCGAAACGCTGAAGATCTCGCTGGATCTAGATCTGAAACAACGATGACGACGCTGCCTGCTGCCATCACAAGCTGCTGCCGAACCGCTGAAGATCTTGCCAGATCTGGATCTGTCAACGAACCGCTGTACCTTCACTGCCGAACCGCTGCACCGCTGCCGGAGATCTGCTGTCGCTGGATCTCTCTGGGTCGCTGTAGCCGGATCTAAATCTGCCGTTGCCGGCTCTCTCTGCCATCGCGGCCATCTCAGATTTTAGTTGAATCTGTTATTTTGATTTTTTTTTTTTTGTTTTGTTTTTCATATATATATATATATAATCAAAACCCTCTGTTTGGCCATAAGTGTAATATTATTCTAGTTCTCGATTAGTTGAAAACTAAACCAGTTTTGTAACCTCATTTGAAAACTGCTTATGTGTTAAACCAATTCCCAAAAAAAAAAAAAAAAAAAAAAGTGAAAAAAATATTGAATCATTTGGAGCAGACAAGTCTACTTACAAATGCACTCATTGCAACTAGACTGGTCATACCAAAAGTCGTTGTTTCAAACTTGTGGGATATCCGAAATGGTGGGATTATCGCCGTTGGAAGAAGAATTCAACAAAGACCTCCACTGCAACAGTTGTTAAGACAACAAATACTAGTGGTAAGAATTTTAATATTTCTACACATGTTGCTAATAGTGCATGGATAATTGATTCTAGTGTCACAGATCATATGACATTTGATTCTAGACAGGTCTCACCTCTTAATTCATCCTCACACAAATTTGTTTCTATTGCCAATGGGACTTCGACCCTAGTTATTGGGGAAGGATCTTTGACACTCACTGATAATTTGCATTTAGATTCTGTTTTAGTTATTCCATCTTTAGATTCTAATTTGTTGTCAGTTTCCCAAATAACCACAGCTTTATCTTGTGTTGTCATTTTTTGGCCTGATTTTTGTGTGTTTAAGGAACTCTAAACAAAGTAGATGATTGGTTGTGGTATTAGGCGAGGGAAACTGTATTACTTGGACTTGATGTCCAAAAGTTCCGATAAGCTACGACAAACATTGCCAGTGGATGGTTCTGAGGGGGAGAGAAAAAAATCTGAAATTTGGCTGTGGCATCGACGTCTGGGGCATGCTTCCTTTGGTTATCTGAAAAAATTTATTTCTAGTTTTTTTGCCAAATGTGATGTTTCTAGTTTTCGCTGTGATGTTTGTGAACTAACAAAGAGCCACCGTGTTTTGTATCCATTATGTTTGCATAAAGGTCCACTTCCTTTTATGCTTATACATTCTGCTGTTTGGGGTCCGTCCAAAGTCACCACTTTAGTTAGATTTCATTGGTTTGTTTCTTTTATTGATGACTGTACCAAGATGACCTGGTTGTGCTTGATGAAGTCCAAAGGTGAAGTGAACTTATTGTTTCAGAAGTTTCATAAAATGGTTGAAACTCAAGACAATGCACATGTTCAGGTTTTCTGTAGTGACAATGGTGGAGAATATCAGAGTTTTAACCTTCAACAGTATTTAGAAGCCCATGGAACTATTCATCAAACCACTTGTTCCAATACACCCCAGCAGAATGGGGTTGCAGAGCAAAAAAATCGACACTTGTTGGAGGTTGTTCGTGCTTCATTGATAGAAGCGCATATGCCATTATCGTATTGGGGGAGAAACACTTACCTCTACAGCATATCTCATTAATTGAGAACCTTCCAACTCTATTGCCTTCCGGACACCATTGCAGGCTCTCACTGACACAATTGTTGCCCCAACCGTCCCAAATCTACCTGCTCATGTATTTGGTTATGTAGCATTTGTACACCTCCATAAGCATCAACGCAACAAGCTAACTCCTCGAGCATTGCGATGTGTTTTTCTCGAATATGCTACTCATCAAAAGGGGTATCACTGTTATCACCCTCCCACTCGACGAATGTTTATCACAATGGATGTTGTCTTCTATGAAAACTTGATGTATTTTTCCTTTGCGTCTAAACTTCAAAGGGAGTACCAGAATGAAATTCAGACTCTAGATTATGATTATCACATTTTTGAGGATGGCTATTCTAATGTTAATGACTCACAAGTTGGACCAACCAATTAGGAATCAGGCAAATTGGATTCGAGTGGTATAAGTTTGGATCAAAGTGGTCATGAACGCCCAGAAATGGAAAGTATGGCGCTAACCCCATTGTCGTTCGAGTTCGAGTCCCTTGTAATTGATATATCAAACCAATTGCTTGCCGAGGATGTTCCTGATTTAGTGCCTGAGCTACTCAGAAAACAATTACCATCGTGTCACACTAGAGGTATTCCTAAACCCACATATGAATCCGAACTTTCTAGTAAAGTTAAGTATCCCATGAGCAATTATGTGTCGAACCATCGTTTGTCAGAACCAAATTTGTCATTTGTAAATTAATTATCTATTGTATCTATTCCTAACAGTGTGCAGGAAGCCTTAGCTGACCCTAGGTGGAAAGCAGCTATGAACGAGGAGATGAAATCCTTGCAGAAAAATGAAACTTGGGAATTCATTGATCCTCCACTAGGAAAGAAACCAGTTGGATGTCAATGGATTTACACTGTGAAGTATAAAGCAGATGGCATAGTTGAACGCTTTAAAGCAAGATTGGTGGCAAAAGGTTACACATAAACCTATGGAATCGATTACATAGAGACATTCGCACCTGTAGCCAAAATAAACACAGTTTATGTCTTGTTGTCTTTAGCT